CCCACTTACTACCTACATCAGGTGCTTCATGTCACTTTTGTTGCAGTAGCCTTAGTGAGGGAGATGGATGGGAGTGGGGGTAAGGGGATTGGGTTGCTTTCTATGCGCAGCAAGAATGGTGGGCAAGGGCTCCCGTGCCGCTTGGCTGTTGGCAAGGAGCCAAATCCATATCGCTACAAACAAGGATCCGTACGGTCTCGCCTCAACCACTCGGGCCATAGGTCATTGATAGACTGTGTCAGCGTCCTTGGTCCAAGATTCATCAACCTTCTACAGTGGATGATATACTTCGTGAATATAGGTAGAAGCATAACAAGAGAAACCAAGTCCTACCTTCAAATGTGCAAGGGACAGCTGTGTGGGGTCGCGGGCAATAGAAAGCGATCCTTGATAGTGAATGATTAATCAGGCAAACAATGAAAGCTGGCCTCCGGCAAACAAGGAAACCTACCCTCCGGCAAACAAGGAAACAGCCTCCAGCAAACAAGGAAACATAGCCTCCGACAAACAAGGAAAGCCTCAGGCAAACAAGGAAATCTGGCCTCCTCAGGCAAACAAGGAAAGTTGGCCTCAGGCAAACAAGGAAATCTGGCCTCAGGCAAACAAGGAAAGTCGACCTCCTCAGGCAAACAAGGAAAGCTGACCTCAGGCAAACAAGGAAAGTTGACCTCAGGCTAAGAGTAGAAAAACCCTCGAAACTGGCCATAAGTACATCACACGAGGAATACACCTGAGCTGAGGTACATACTCCCAGAAAGCTCCCCACACTTTGGCGCAGAAAACGGAAAGGTAGAAATGGTAGAAAGTACCTCGCCCTTACCAGGTAGCACTGGCTTCCCTTTCTCAGCAGGTGCTCAGCCTTGGTTCTGAGGTCCTATTTTTTTTTTATTTCTATGTTATATGTCTGTCCTAACGCCAAAACGTTTACTTTTTATTATTTAATGCAGATATGCCTGCCTGAGTTGCCTCTCACTGTTCATCTGATCATCTTGCTCCTAAATCTTGTGCCTTCTCCATTGAGGTGCTGGTGGTCACGTGTCTTCGCTCTGTCTCAGATTCCTTTGCGTGTTAAAAGCCAAATAACACTTGCCTGCCACCCTCTGCTTCAATGTCACATAGATTGGAACATAGAACATAACTATGCGCTCTACACACGTGATCTGTGAAACATCCCAGAAGACATTGCCACTGCTGTCTACTATCAAACACCTGCATCTTTTTTTCCCCCTCCTCTTGCCCCGTCAACATCCACGGCTCCTGTATTTTTGTCCGTGTTTCGTTTCCCTCTGGAGACGTATGTTCACAGTAAACTACTACTTTGGAGAGGAAATAAACGGCATTTCGGTTTGTCCTGGACCATTATCAGGTCACTTGTGAATGGTCCAGGACATACGAAAACGTAGTCGAAAGTTTCATCTCTTAAGTGTGGGTTATTTGTAAACTGTTCCAGCTGTGGTATTGTGACTTTTTATTCTTCATGATCTTGATACATGTGCGCTTGCCGTCGTCTCTTTGCTTCCCTGGTTGTTACCTATTATCCCATTTCTTAACGAGTGTGTTCTCCTTTCCCCTCCCCCAGTCTTTTTTTTTTTTTTTACCACACTTGGTGACCCCCCAAAAAAGGATTTTTGACCCGGAGGGTTAGCCATCTAGGATAACCCAATAAAGTCGGTGTGTCATTGAGGACTGTGTCATATTTTCACTGGGTCCTTTAAAGTTAATCTTGTTCCCAAGGATGCGACTCACAACAGCTGACTAACAGCCAGGTACCTACTTACTGCTAGGTGAACAGGGACAGCATGTGTCAAGAAATATGACCAACGTTTCCATCTGTGCTGACTGTAATACAATGTAATCCTCGAGGTGTATTCTCTGAGGATACAGGCTTAATTCAGGTGAGCTTCTGCTTGGTCTCCATTCCACTTGCAAGTATCTATAGTCAAAGTCCTCTTTCTTATGTTCTTACCTAACTTTCACGTCTCTGATTTGGACTGGTGCTCTCTTTAATCACTTCCAGTTACACAGCTGAAACAGCCTTAATTAAACCTAACAAATTGGCACTTTATCGTATGTATCCATCTCTGCCTGGTCAACTTGGTAATGCTCCTAAAGATCATTATCCCCCATAACTCAGATAAGTTCACCTGGCTAACTGTATAGTGTTTGCAGCACAGTGCAGTGTAAGCACCATAACTTGGCCGATTGGTATTTGAGTGGAGGGCATTGACATGCATTGGACACTTACTGAATGCTTATTTATTTATCCTATAGTGAATTTAATCACCCTTGGTGATACTGTATTTTGCACTTTCCACTGTACCATGACTACCATCATCATCATCATCATCATATGAGTTACAATTTTAAGCGTGCGGATTTAAAACAAATCACTCTAGTATCTTCCATGTGTAAATAATAAAATGTGCTTTGCAATGGCACAGTGTGAAGAATTATGGGTGTTCCCAATATTTAAGGTTTTTAACTGACTGCATGTACAGTAAGCAATTAAAATTCTCTGCACATTCCAGAGATCTGCAATTCCACCAGCATTAAATGGGGCTGTACAGTACAGCAATACATATTTCAGTCTAGTAAATTTAAGTACCATGAGACAATCATCAATGACTTGGCCTCTCTGATTCTGAACTTTCTTGTTACACAGCTTATTTTTTTGCTGGAGTTTTGAAAGTATAATACTGTGACATTAATGTTCTTGAAGCATACAAAAAATCAGACATGGTTACTAGAAGATATCTTACTGACCTTGTGCAGATTACTTACACTTAGTTGTCTATTCCATTTTTTCTTTTAATTTTTCCATGTCAAAGAAAGCTCACTTTCTAATATATTCTTTCCTTCCTTCTTTTTCTCTATAGTATTGTTTTTCATTGATCACATTCCTATAAAATCACATAGCTTATTTATTTTATAACTCACTCCTATTTTAATAGTTTTTAAATTTAAATTCTCTAGTTTATGTCTGATACTGCAATGCACATAAACAATTAAAATGTTAAATTTTAATTTGAAACATCAAAGTACTTTAAATAAATTTTCCCCACAAAAATTTTCCCCACACAAATTAACTTACTAGCACATAGTCTTAAAAGTTTCTACTGTACTTTAATAAATTCTACACAAGATTAAGTATTACAGTAAATGTTAATAAAGTACATACAGTACTTTATATTGGGGTTAAAATAAATACTTATGAATATCAATTTATGTCATCAACTAATTTGGCTTGGGGTCGAGTGTATTACCTATGCCTGATTATACAATATTTTAATTACAAAATAAGATCCCCTTTCCCTATTTCTACATAACTGTTCTTGAGTTTAAAATTTTATATGCTAAATATTTAATGCCACTGCAAAAATGCATTAGCAATATCAACAACATTACTGTACTGATAGGCATGTAGAAAATTTATAAATTTCACGTTCCTAAATGCTTTAAATTTTCAAAAAAATATTTTGCCTTTGGTATATTCCACATGCCAGAAGTAACACTGACATCACATTAAACAAATTAAATATTGTACCCATGAACTAGATGAAGTAAAAAATATCAAAACACAGAAAGCATGGGCTAAAAATTGGGGAACAGACAAGCACAGTCTAACTGCTACATACATAAGATGATGTGCTTGGGAAAGTGAGGGATTGGGAGAATAATCAAGAATGATTTCATTTTGAGACACTTGAATTGAACTAAAAGTCAAAGTGATAAGTAACAAACACTATTTAACCCTCTGAGGGTCGAGAGGCCCTCTCCCAAACTTGTTCTCAGGGTCAAAAAATATTCGAACAAAAAAAATAATTTTTTCTTGTGAAATGATAGAGCATCTTTTTCCAATCATAATGACACCAGAGAACCCAATGTAAGTCCGAGTCATTGGTAAACGAGTACGTCGTTAAGTGAGGAGAGGCTGTACATCAATACAGTGGACCCCCGGTTCGCGAAGTCATCGGTATCCAATAAATCCGGTATCCGAAGCATTATATTGCAAAAAATTTGCCTCGGTTCCCATTACAAAACCCAGTATGCGATACAATTTGTACGAGACGTGTCCACGTGTGGCCTGAACTGCCCCGTGTGTGCCAGTGTTTACAAGCCAGTCAGTGTGCGCGCATCTAAGGATACATTCGGTACATTCCATATTATCCATATTATCACTGTTTCTGGTGCTTGTTTCTGCAAAATAAGTCACCATGGGCCCCAAGAAAGCTTCTAGTGCCAACCCATTGAGACCAAGGGTGCTAATGACTATTGAAATGAAGAGAGAGATAATTGCAAAGTATGAAAGTGGAGTGCGTGTGTCAGACCTGGCCAAGTTGTATAGTAAATCCCAATCAACCATCTCTACTATAGTGAGCAGGAAAACAGCAATCAAGGAAGCTGTTCTTGCAAAAGGTGCAACTGTGATTACAAAACAGCGATTCCCCTTCTAAACATTAAAAACTTCAACACTCTCCCCTCCTCCCATCCCATCAATCATCACCAGATCTTCATTAAAGGTAAGTGTCAATTATTCTATTGTGATTATTCTATTGTTATTGTAATTATTCTATTGCATTTAACTTAATATTTCATGTGGTGAAAGTTTTTTTTTTTTCATACTTTTGGGTGTCTTGCACGGATTAATTTGATTTCCATTATTTCTTATGGGGAAAATTGATTCGCTTTCCAATAATTTTGCTTTCGATGAGCTCTCAGAACGGATTAATAACGTGAACCGGGGGTCCACTGTATTGTATTGTGTGAAGGTATTTTTTTACTATACGTATATAAAATGTTGAGGGTTCCCTTACTATCCACTTATAAGAGATACTACAGCAAATGGCTTTTCAACACTAAAGGTACAGTAAAATTAAAGGCTGCAGCTCCATTCAAAATTCAACATTTAAATCTACACATCTTTATACTGTACATCATGCCTCACACTTATAGATGCTACACAAATAACCAGAACCTTGTAAAAAGAACACTTTACTTACATTTTCGTGGTCCATGTGCTTTAACATGCGAAGCTCACGATACGTTCTCTTAGCATGGATGTGCGTTTGGAAAGGCCGAGCCAGTTTCTTTATCGCTACTTTAGTATGTGTTTTAGAATCCATTGCTGAACTGTAAGAGATGGGTAGAGAGAAAAAACTATTATCTTCAGACACAAAATAAAACTTCATGAAGTAAATGCGAGTAATCCATTTACTGGAAAACCAATTACTGTAATGCGTATTCACTTTAATGTAAGCATTATATCAGGATACTGGGCTTTATCAAGTAAAATGCTGCAGTGAAACGTTTTTTTGCTACTACTGTCATTATTTCTACTTATAATGTCATTAGATGATAAGAGCCACATACCACATGGAGAGTCCTTGATTATTCTTCCAATATTATAACATTTGTTTATGCTTTAGTCCATCCAATAAAAGTTTTTAAATACTTCAGCGGCAGCGGCAGCAGCGACTTCCAAGCTCCGTACTTTTCTCCAACTATCAGAGCTACCAATGCTCCTATGATGACCTAGTTACAAGCAAAACTGCACTACCCAACGTAGCACCCAGAATGACCAAAGATTACCAACAGTGAAACCTACAAATCAAAAATAATAGAGATCAAAGGAAAACTGCCCACAAACCGAAAGCAACACCCCACTGCCAGCCGAACAACGTAACCCTAAGCTTTGTATAACTACAACTTCTTAACTACAACAATTCCTGTAGTATTATGAGGCGCAATCTCAGAGGAAACAGCACCAAGGCCAGCAAGAAAACACCGAAAAATCAACTATTCAACAAGTGTAGCCAGGAGGACGCCGCCCAGCAACCACCCCACTCACCACCGCTCAAGGCGACACCACAACAATAACAACAAACATGGCTGCCACCAGCCCATCCTCCCTCTCTTCCCAAATTTTTTTTTCCCCCCAGCCTACCTTATAGGTTACACAATAAAGGAATTTAAAAAAGCTTTACTCTTTACCCAAAACTTTTTTAGGAGCAACGATGTCTTGGCAGTTCTTAAAGGGCCACCTTTTTACGACTTTTTGTTTTTAACCTTTCTTAAGAAGGGTGGAAATTTAATCTTCGCCAAAAATTTTCAGGAAAAAAGGAGTTATTAGGACAAAAATCACCTTAATGAAGTTTTCATGTCCCAAAATAAAATGCTCTGACGTTTTTATTTTGACCAGGGCTTTTTTCTATTTTACCAGGAAGGCCCCTAAAGGGGGTCTTAATTTTTTTCCATTAAAATTTACATTGAATGCTTTTTTCCCAAAAAAGTTTATTAAAATTCCTAGTGACCCAGCCTTAACTGTTTCTCCAACACACACCCCAAATTCCTTGAGGACATTTTTTGCCCTGAACCCCTGAAGTAGTTCCAAAGTGATACACAAAAAAATAAGGTTAACGGGAATCCCAAAAAAACCAGCAACACCCATCCACCAAAGTAACCCTGTTTTCTTCTTCTAAAAATAGGATTATGTCCCTGGAGTGCCCCCTCCTAAAAAATGTAGGGGCCCGCCGCATTCCCTTCCCAGCCAAAGGCCGCCACAAAAATTTAAAACAACTTGGGGGTTTCCCCTTTCCGTTCACCTCCAGTTTCTAGGTATCCAAACTTTGAATCCTAAGCACATTTTTTCCCACGTTTTTTGGGTCCGAATGCGTGCTCAAACAAAAACCCGTACACAATGGAAAACCATACGTCTTAAAAATTCCAAAAACAACCCTTTCCCCTGGCCATTAAACACTATATCTCAACAAGTTAAAAAGCATTTTTAATTAAGCATGATAAACCTTCCCTGCCTTTTCCCCAAAAAGGATCCTGAAAAGGGTTATTTTTGCAAAAAGTGTTTTTCATTTATCCAAAAACATAAAAAAATTCTCTCAATCTCAAGCCACTTGTTTTAAAAACCAAGTTAAAATTTGGAACCAGTTCCTTGATTTGGGGTTTTCTTGCCCCACATAAAAGGGAAAAAGTTAATTTTGGGTTTTTGTAAAAGAGAAAAAAGGTGGTGTTCCCAAAACTTCCACCTTTTATACTTACAATGACCTCCCATTTCAAATGGGATTCTTTTTGAAAGGTGTGGGGTTAAACTAAAAAACTTTCGGGGAAGGGTCTTATTTTCCAAACAACAGAGAATAACAACTGTAAATTAAAATACCGAGTGTGGGTTGAATGTTTTCCGCATTTGGGTTAAACAATTGGGAACCGAGAATTTAACCTACCATAAATTTGGATTTCCGTGGACAAGGTCCATGAATTTTTTTTTACTATTGGGGCAAATTTTTTAGCGAAAACTTCCTCTTTTTCCTTTTAACGTCCTATATTTTAAATTACTATCAATTGATATTACTTACTAAAATTAATAATTATCATTTTTACTATAATTTCAATTTACTCTTTAACATTTTTGACATTTAATAACCATTACTTGTCTAATTACCTTTACCTGTTTTAATACCACATTTACTATCTTAGAGTACTCTTAATTACCTTTACTGCCATAATAACCTCTAGTATAACTACCAGTGCAATATTGAATGAAATAAACATTACTTTTTCACTTTTTTTGTAATCATTATTACTTACTAAAATTTTATTTAAACACCATATTTACTCCAGTAAATTTTTAAATTTTGTACATTAAACATTATTTTATACTTCCCATAACATTTTGTTGCCAAATTTCAAGTTTGTATATTCAACTCCAACCTTTATATTATCCTTTGTACCTGTGTACCTTTTGTACCTGTCTTACCATCTTACTATCATATTATAACCAAGAACATTCCCATTGTTATTTTTTACTATTATTCTTTTGGTACTTTAATTGTGAATTTTATTTTGTCAATTTAAATCTAGTTATACTTCTTGATCTTGTCAACAACCTATACCAGACCTAGTGCAATTGCAAGTACCATTTCAATTAGTATTTTTATATTTATAAGTTTATATTAAAAATTCCTACTCTAAGATTTTTTTTCATATCTTAGTGACTATATTGTGTGTGCAATTAGTGTATAATTTCAATTTATATTATTGTTCAAGGCCCTTAACTATCTTTTCCCTAACTAGTACCAACTACCTCATATATTTTTTTTTTTTTCTACTTTTTTTATTCTTTTGCTACCTTAACTTGTATTTTTTATTTTGTCAATTTAAATCTAGTTAACTCTAATTCTTGTAAACAACTTATATAACACCTTAGTGCAATTACAATTGAGAGTCTTGTGCCTTTTTTATATTTATTAGATTAAACTCATTTTGTACTATAGTCAATACCAAATTCATTTTTTATTAGACCATACTGAAATTTACTAGTGAGAGACTGGTGCTATTTTTAATTTGTATTTTTATATTATTAGATTAAATCTAGTTGTACTATAGCTCATTCTAGCTCAAAACATAGATCCACAAAAATGTCTTATATTAGACCTTAGTGCAATTACAAGTGAGAGTCTTGTTCTATTTTAAATTTGTTTTTTTTATATTACTAGTTTATACCTAGTTGTACTTTAGTTCTTTCCCAGAAAACAACACATAGACAACATCAACTTCATTATGTGTAGTAGTGACTATACTCTACATGACAAAATACTCTAGCTATATACTTATCCAAGCTTCCCACCACTACAGATATCAGTACTAAACTCAACACATAACTCAGGATATAAATAACCATAATTTAAACCTAGAAGATGATTGATCACGTTGACCTGATCTAAACCTCCATAATCTGACACCCAATCAAAACTATTGGAAAGTAACTGCCTTTATTACACAGCATCACAAGCCAAGCAATATCCTAAACAATGTAAAAGTCCTCTATCAGTACTTAATACAACATAGAGCCTTAAGCATAACACTATGATGACCTTCCTGGCACTCCTTGACTCACTAAAGACACCTCTCCATGCATATCTTACATGAGACCTGGCTTAAGCAGGACAATAGATATCTACCTCTACCAGGGTACACAGCAATTCACAACTGCAGACCAAACCAAGTTGGGGGTGGTATTGCAATCTATTACTCTAACCAATTATCTTGTATTAGCACCACTTGCTTTAGTGATGAATATGGGGAATACATTTTTGCTAATTTTACTGTAAAAAACCTTAAGACACCTATAACAATCGGTGCCATTTACCGGATACCTCACACAAACATCCCAAATTTCAGTGAGAAATTTTTTAGGCCTACATCTAATGCTCACTTAATATATGAGAGTGTAAACACATTATCAGGCTTTTATTTGCATTTGAAAGTGAAGAAAGGCTGTTTCACTTTACAGTGATTTTCACTTTACAGCAGTAGCCCAAAACCTAATCTGCTGTATAAGCAGGGCCCTCCTGTACTATATATCCTGTACTGACCATACTAAATCATCTCTTTAGCAGTTAAGAGGACAACAAAGGGATAAAGAAATCTGAAGCCTTTAACAAACACTTCAAAGAATTTCTTTAATGAACAATATCACTGCATCGGTTATGTTAACAACTTATCCTGACAATATATTTTAATTCAGGTTAAATTTATATAATACTGCATAGTAATTTTACACCAGTTGCACTGCAAACCTTTTATATTTTTAAAGCTTAATTGCTATTATTAAAAGAATAGAATAATAACAAGCAACAATTATTACTCTAGGATTACACAACAAAGCCAAAAATAGTAAAACGAGAATCATTTACAGTGGACCCCCGCATAGCGACCTTAATCCGTGCAAGAGGGCTGGCTGTTATGCGAAAGTTGGGTACGAATAAATTTTCCCCATAAAAAATAAGGAAAATAAAATTTAAACCCGGCAAGACACCCAAAAAAGTACGAAAAAAAAAATTTTTACCACAAAAAAGTTAATTTTAATACCAAAAAACTGAAAAAGGCACAAAATTACATGACACTTACTTTTTTAAGATCTGGTATGTTGGGGATGGGAGGAGGGGGAGAGGGGTTTTGTGTTTAGAAGGGGAATCCCTTCCCATTAAGACTTGAGGTTTCAGTCCTTTTTTCTGGGGTTATTTCCCCTTTCTTCTTTTTTCCCACTAGGCCCAGTTTCGAGTCATGGCTTCTTTCGACAACATATCTGTCCAAGTGGCCTGTACCTCTCGTTCCTT